AGTCCGGAATTGCGTGGAATCTTTCAGTCAGCTTTTTGTGAGGCGGGCCCAACTCAATTCAACTCAGCTGTGAACTGCCTAATTCAACTGCGAACTCCTCTCAACTCGTTGCGACTCTGCTGGTATGGACGCCGACCAAAACCGGGGTGGGCTTGTCGGGGTTTGAGGTTCCTTGATAATTCTAAATCCACAATCCACTTCTTTGTTTTCGGTCAGGAAAATTTATTATTTTCCATTTTTGGAAGTATTTCGTCCTCCCACCTTCTTCTGTTCTCATATTGGTATCTCACCATACCCTCAGAGCGTGTCAACGGGTTTCCCCTCTCTCTCACAGTGGCATCTCATACCGATCCCTTCAGGGGGTGTCAACAGGCCTCCCCTCCTACTTCACATGGTTACCTTCGCCTAACGCTTACGCCAGCATTCAGCCAATGGGCGCCCAGCAGTGTGGGTGCGGCCACACTAGCCTCGGTTTAAAAAATCTTGCTCAAAGAAAAGAAATTATCTTCCTTTTTTTTTTCTTTTTCTTTTCTTTCTCTTTCTTGACAACAAGTCCTTAGACACGTAGTGTGGTCCTTTAATCTCAATTCTTATCCTGAATGTCACCTGGAATTCATCACCCGGGACCTTCGCCAAACAAGTGGGTGGTCATCCGGTGAGATCCACATTCTGGCGTTAATTATTCGTTCTGATAAAATAATTTTCCTATCGTGACCAGCTTCGACATAAAACAGATGTCTTTTCCAAACGACATCCCCGTAGATAGCTAATGGTCAATTTTTTCTTCCTGGTGGTCCAGCGGACATTTTTCTTTTTCGGTCAGCGCATGACCTAATTAATTTTTATCTCCCAGTTTCTGTTTCGTAGGCGACTTTACCAACGTGGAAGTTATCATTATCGTTGTCATGGCAGACTGCTGTCGTTTATTCGGTGATCGTCATAAATCAAATTAAATTCTGTGTTTTACTTTCTCGACAATGGAAATAGAATCTTACCACTTTGTCAGAAAAATAACACGCTTAGTGTCCTGTTCGTGATCGCTTCTTATCACCTAAATTTAATTCCCGCCTTTTTTTTTCTTTCTAGCAACCTAAATAGTGTCGCAAAGGTATGTAAGTCTATAATAATTGAAGTTTATCTCTGTATTATCTACAAACATACATAGATACATGCACACACATACAGAGTTGATGATACATCATCATCTGAATCCCACATAGACAAACTTGAATAATTATACACTTACATACAAAAAGTAATATTTACACTATTTCACTTAGGCTTGGTACCCATTAATTTCTTCAAATTCCAAATGGACGAATCGTCTTTCCTTGAATTGGTAAGGCCACAAATTATACTAACGTTTGTTGAAAAAGTCGAATGCACATGAAACCTGATTAAACAATGAAAATCAAACAAAAATAAAAATCTCAGAATTTCTTTCTACTTTTTCTCATCATCTGATGAAGTTTTAATAAAACTGAAACGTGTTAGATTAATAAAGGTTTCCTATTTGCTCTATATCTATGCATTTAAAACACCAAATCTATTTGGATATTTTTTGTCTGTGAAGTCTGTAACCTTTTCATGTAATAAGGTTTTCTCCTCTGTATTGGTGTAACCATTGCTGATATCTCTGTTCTGTCAATGCAGACAGTTCGATCGTGTTTATACAAGTTACCATTTCTGACACCATAGGTCAACTAGTTCCAGAGCAAGTTATGTTAGAGCCGTAGATCTTAGTAACCACAGCATAAGTTCTTTTTTCTTTATAAAGTCAAGAACTGTCTCATTTTCACTTCAAGGAACCACTAAATATTTTGCTTTGACAATTTTTACATTGAAACATTATATAGTAAACCGTATGTCCAATAATGGCATCCGAAATTTCCAGGAATCAGTTCTATAGAGACAGGAAATCTTTAAGAACCTATTCTGCTTATTTTCTTTTCAATCCGAGAATGGAAGCAAATCACTCGATAGAATCAAACAGAATTAAACCATTTTGATAATTTAATAGAAAACATTTATTTGTTAAGATATTTCCAGATTGAAATTCTGTTCTTATCATATTTCTGTTCAGAAGTATGGTGCTTTTTGACTCTAGTGTCATCGGCTGCGTTATGGTTTCTTGGCCACATTCGAATTGAATCGCTACAGTCCCCAAATATCCAATGGAAGACCTATCAGATTTATGACTAGAAGATATGCCATATTTTTTACTTAAAAACGGTAGAGGTCGTGTGTCTGTTGGAGTTTCACTAAGCGTGTACACGAGCGTAGCGGAGCTAACAATTTATTTAGACCATCGGCTATTAATATATAAGATTATTTTTGGATAATTCAACAACCTGTTCCCTATGCTTTTATAATTTTAAGAATCGTATTGCACAAACCGGTAGGATGTCACCACTGCTTATGTCTTGCTTATTTTAGGGGTGGTGACTGCGGATAATTTAACCGCTTTGCTTGGAGTGGAATGATTAAAATAATGCAACTA